TGTGTGTGTGTGTGTGTGTGTGTGTGTGTGTGTGTGTGTGTGTGTGTGTGTGTGTGTGTGTGTGGACTGAACTCTGCTGGAATGAAGCTGACGTCTCTTTCTTGCCCTCATTTCAGGCTTTATCATATCACTCTGTGGACATGTGTTCTGGCGCTCGGTCACTTCCTGTCCGAAGTGTTTCTCTATAAAACTGCTCCTCTGATTGTAGCCAGTAATTTATGACCAGGGTTTCAAACATCTAGATTAGTCTTGCATTTTTGTAACATCTGTTTCTAACATAAAATTACACTATCGACAGTTCAACAATACTGTAAAAACAGTAATATTGTGCAATATTATTATAATTCATTATGATGATTTGCTGCTCAAGAAACATTTCTTATTATCATCAGTGTTAAAAACTGTCACTCTATGTCATATTTTTTGGAAACCATGATACATTACCTTTCAAACTTTTGGGGGAAGTAAGAAATTAATACTTTTATCCAGCAAAGACATATTAAATTGATAAAAAGTGACAGTAAAGTGATTTATTGCAAACTTTTGAACAGTAGTGTATAGGTTTTACCTTGAAGTAGTTTGTTTCTGTAGAAACACTGACGACCAGCCTATTTCATCATCAGTACTGTATACTGTTGTTGTTGATCTATAATTATCAGCGTTTGAAGAGTCCGTACTGGCCTATAACAGTGTTTGTGTTTGTAGGTTTCTCTATCGTGGGCATGTTAATCTTTGAGCCTCAGGAAGTAGTGGGAGCCCGTCAGAAGAAGAGGAACTGAGGGATACTCCCGGCTGATGCTTCATCACTGATGCCTTCGGCTGTGACTCCTGACTTCAGAGCTTTCTGATGGGTCACTGGGTCACATGACTGTCCTCTTATCAACTGGGTGGCAAACATATGAGGCCCAAACTATCTTTTTTTTTAAAGCACTGAAATCAGTGTAATATTAAAATGATAATAATTGTATAGGGTTATTTGAAGTTAAATTGTCTGAAAGCAATTGCAGTACTGGTACTTTTGTGTTTATTTTAGCTATTATTTTAGAACAGAGATGCCAAAACCAGAGTCAATATAATTTAATTGGATTTTTTGTTTTTATTATTAAATCTAAAAATTATAATCTACTAATCATACTAACAAAATGTTAACACCATGCTAGTAACATGCTAATCATGCTAGCAACATGTTAGTACCTTGCTAATTATGCTAACAACATGCTAATCATGCTAGTAACATGCTAATCATGCTAGCAACATGTTAGTACCTTGCTAATTATGCTAACAACATGCTAATCATGCTAGTAACTTGCTAATCATGCTAACAACATGCTAGTAACATGCTACTCATGCTAGAATCATGCTAACAACATGTTAGTAACTTGTTAATTATGATAACAATATGCTAGTAACATGCTAATCATGTTAGAAACATGCTAGTAACTTGCTAATCATGCTAGTAACATGCTATTAATGCTAACATGCTAGTAACATGCTATTCATGCTAACAACATGCTAGTAACATATTAATCATGTTAGAAACATGCTAGTAACTTGCTAATCATGCTAACAATATTCTAACACCATGCTAGTAACATGCTACTCATGCTAGAATCATGTTAACAACATGTTAGTAACTTGATAATAATGCTAACAATATGCTAGCAACATGCTAATCATGTTAGAAACATGTTAGTAACTTGCTAATCATGCTAGTAACATGCTAATTGTGCTAACAACATGCTTGTAACATGCTATGCATGCTAACAACATGCTAGTAACATGCTAATCATGTTAGAAACATGCTAGTAACTTGCTAATCATGCTAACAAAATTCTAACACCATGCTAGTAACATGCTACTCATGCTAGAATAATGCTAACAACATGTTAGTAACTTGCTAATTATGTTAACAATATGCTAGCAACATGCTAACCATGTTAGAAACATGTTAGTAACATGTTAATCATGCTAGCACCATGCTAGTAATATGCTAATTGTGCTAGAAACATGCTAGTAACATGTTAATCATGCTAAAAACATGTTGGCAACATGCTAGTCATGCTAAAAACAGCCTAGCAATCACCCCAGGTACCCTAGCAATATGTTTTATACCTATCTGTTTTTCTGATAGACTGTATTGCCTTGAAAACATTCAAACTTTAATCTTTAAAACTATTTCAGACTTCAAGCTTTTAAAACTTTTTCAAACTTTCTAGCTAGGCTTTTTCAAGCCAACTTTCAATCTAGTTGAATTTGATTTTAAAAAAAATTTAATAAATAAAAAAATTCATATAAAATTAAAAAATATATCAATCAACGTTGGTTTTTGGTCCTTGTATTAAAAAGTTTGGGCACTACTGTTTTTGAATAATAGTACAGTGACTGGAACTGTGAAATAACATTATTGTAAATCTGGGAATGATGAAGTGATGAAAACCTGACACATTTGAGCTGCTTCTTTGTCTAGATCGCAGCTCTGAGCTCCTGAAATAAATGTTGTCGTTACATTTATATATACAAATAAATAAAATGAATGTCAAGCATTTAAGCCTTGAAATGAAAAGGGTTTTAGTATGAGCTGTTCATGAATGTTTATTCCGGTCATTTCACTGTTTTGTCATGTGGCTGCGTTTCCATTATCCTTCAAATTGCGAATTGAATTGAAAAATGTCCATTTTCGCCCCAAAATAAATAAATACATTTGTCATTTCTTATTGTTGAGAAAAGCTAATGACAGTTCGTCAGTTCCAAGATAAAAGCTTTCTCAATATCAGTTAATTAGGTGTACCAAGCAAGCAATCATTAAACAAAAAATGTAAATATCTTACCCATAGGCAGAGAGTGAACCAACTGCAGAGTAAGGCTAAAATAGCCTCATGTCAGTGTAATCTATTAACTACACACATCATAAACCTGTCTGTTTAGAAAAGTACCACATATGGTGTCAAGAGATATTTTAATTAGTGATGTCAAATCGATTCATCGCGATTAACAACATTTATAAAATATAAAGTTTTGCGCACATCTGTAATGGAAACGCAGAACGTATGTGGAATAGTTTACAAGACTCATTTGCTTGTTAAATAACTCGCTAACATGCAGACGTGCATAACTAGTTATCTTCATTACTGAATATCAGACTGACAGAATTTATATACAGAATGTTTCTATGCAAATACTGTAAGCGAACAACATCCACACACATTGCTAACAGAAACAATCATCTGAACAGCTTACACAGATCAGAACTGTACGCGGCTGTAGAAACTAACTACACATCTACACGCAGAAGTCTTGAGTTGTGACTGGGTTTGGATCAACTGTGCTCAAAATCAGTGTAAAGACTGATATCAAAGTCACTTCTCTGAGTCGCAGTGCTGCTGTAGTTACTGCACTTTGTTTGTTTGCAGGGCAGAGTAGTTCTGGATATTTGAAGCCGTATGAAATTAATAAAGTGAAATAAATGACCTTAAGGAGTTAATTTTGTGTGATGTCATTGAGTACAAAGCATCTTGTTGAAACGAGACAAAAGTGGCGGCACAGACATTAGACTGGATTCCATCTGTGCCTCTGATTTATTATTACACAGAAATCCATGGCATCTTAACAATAAATATCGTTGATTTGCCAAAAAAAAAAAGGCCTCATATTGCCTAATTTGATGATGCAGAGTTCAAAAATATCAGTGAAACCTTCCATCACGTACAGCACTTATGCAAAGTTACAAAAGCAGTCAAATGTAAAAAGTTTTTTAATGATAATCTTTTAACTTACAGTCTGCAAAGGAAAGGAAAAACGTGTTCAAATACTCAATTTAATGTCTTGAACTTCAGTGCATGAATAAAACTCGTTTGCATTTTCTTCTGTCATTGGCCATAATTCTAGCCTTGAAATATGGATTAGGCATCAAATAACCATGCGTGTGAAAATGGGCTGAGAATTGAACAATTAAGTTGCAATCTGGCTCAGATTCAGACAGGATTCATGTGTTGGTTGCAGTTTTTCTGGCAATTAACAGATAATACATCCTTACGGAAAGCAAAAATGCTACAAAATGCATCATACTTTGTGAGAAAGTGTGATGTGCTCCAGCAAAACATATACTATTTTTGGAATCGGCACCCAAAATGAAGTAAGAAACAAGTCTTGGATTTCATTAAAGGGGTCATATGATGCGATTTCAAGTTTTCCTTTCTCTTTGGACTGTTACAAGCTCTTGGTG